TGAAATGTCTTGTAAAGGGAGTAAGTAAGTAAAACACAACTCTACTACTAAAACCCCAAACTCCAACCTCCACAACTCATTAAAACCTCCTTTTCTCCAAACTGCTTCTGACTTTTATAACGAAACAGTTCAAACAAGCCACTGCAATTCAACAGAAATGTAGCCTCCAGGAACCCACAACATTGTTTGTACATGAAGCACTTGCTTTCATGTGACATACGGTGACCACCACCGGCAAAACAGCCTAGTTTGCTAACGCTGCCTCATACAAACCCTTTTAACTCCACAGCAACTTAGATTTGACAGTAGTAGGAGCAACAGTTAAACTATGGCATCCTGATGGCACAGATGTGTATTTGGAGACGCTTCAAGTTCTTTATCTATGGGGGGAGAGAGGCAGGAGAAATTAATTTGAGCACAACATTAAAATGGATGTTCTACTGATGCAATTGGTTATTTTTAAGTAGTAGGTAGCACAGTGTAGAAGATGTGCTTGGATTTTGGGGGACAAAAATATTAACAAAGTACTTTCTGCTAAAGTGTTCCTTAATCCACTCTTATTTTCAAGGTCAGCACCCCCACTGAAGATAAAAGAAGTGCCTCTCAGCTCAAGTTTCAAGCTTTCAATCCACACAGGAAGTTTTTGATATTACTTAGAATGTAAGAAATTTTCACACTTAGACATTAAGAAACTCCAAAATTACATTCTGCTATAAAAAGCTGATTACTGAGAGGTGCTTGAGGTGTGGAGTTTTTTTTGTTTTTCCTTTAAAAAATATATATATATATAATTCTGGAGCCAAACCTTGGTGTAGACAGTAATTTCAGCAACAAGTTCAAGGACACAGACAAGAAACGGCTATAACCTATTGTGGATACATAAATGGAGGTGGGAAAATAAGCAGCTTGCCAAGTAGCAAGATTACAAAATCCTAGTTACTGACAGATTACCTTCCAGAAAGAAGCTTAAAAAAAAGAAAATCTCAGGTAGTTCAATATTAGTTTATTAAATCAGCAATTTTTATGACCACTTTCTAAAAATGATTACAAAGCATATTAAAATACATTACAGTATCCGCAAAGAATTTATTGTGTAATAAAAGTGCAATGATAATGAACTTACAACTTGGTTTGCCTAGTTGGACAAACTGAAGCACATTGCACAGATCAAGCCTTCCCTCAAAAATTAGAGTGCCTTTTGAAGTGAAAATACAGTATTTAACAAAAATATTAGAAAAGATGAGCAGGTGAAGTAGAAAATAAAGTTAATGTTCATTCTTTCAGTGCTAAGTTACACATACTCATCAAACCATACACTTCAAACTCCGCTTGAATTCCAACAACAAAGATCCACCAAAGTGAGTGCACACTGTGAAGGGAAGGAAGCAAGAAGAAAAAGAGGGCACATTTCAAGTACTGGTGATGAATGACTTTGAAAGTCAGGGACCAGATACTGCTGCTTTGAGACCAGGTTCCACACAAATCCACAACATCCCCAACTAACAACTGGGACCTCACCCTGCCCTGAAAATCTTTGTAAACTCACCATTTTCAAGTGTCACAGCTGTAAACGCTGTCACTGTCCTGAAGTGTAATTATGAGCAGTAGCTCCACATTTGCTAAATTCATTTCTGTGGGAATGGAACTAGGGTTGGGCATTAAAACTGGTTTGGAATAGTTGGAGGAGGTAAAAACAGCAGTTTCTACTTTTGTTGATGGCAACAGACTACATCAGTGGGCACTGATTTCATGGGATGAATTACTGACAGTTTTGAATGGTCTTGCAGCAAATATAATCAAAATCCTAGGCATAAAATAGCCAACAAACCCAATGTTTTCATCTTTCTTCAGCAGACATTAGTATCAAACTAACATCAAAGGTTACCTCATACTGCTGTTCCCAATAACAATTCAGTGCAATTTCATGAGAGAAGGTAATCCCTCTGACTTCTCACGCTCCTAACACACGGACTCACTGACTCCACAGAACATTATCCAAACGTGCATGTGGCTGGTATAACTAACTGAATGGGCTTGCAGGACCTGACAAGCAGAGTAGGCCCATGGGTCTGAGAGGAGGTAGTGAGAAAAGAGATCCCTTCCGTTGAGCAACAGCAACCTACTGTATCGGGTTAGCTGTGCAAGAAACTGCTGTTTGAAAGTACACAATGAAATGTACTTTATTCCTATCAATGACATGCACTGCTAGTGCACATATCTAAAAATACATTTATGCACACAGCTCTGCATGCTGATCCTAAAACACTTCTATTCCTCCAGATAAACAGAAAATCCATCTCTACTCCTATTTATGCTTCATGCATTCCCCTTCCAAATTCTACAGGGAAACAAAGCAAAATATTTCAACCCTACTGGACAAAATATTTTAACTTATCAAAATGATGCATTTCAATTTGTCTCCCTGAAGCCCAAGCTAGCTTACTGTCATGAAGACTGAAGAAAGGCTGTGTTCTCCGTTTTACTACCAATAAAGCTAGAAAAATAAAATCACTGAGAAACTATCCTGTTCCTCTCACTGAAGGAGGATATTCCTACCAGCATGGGATCACATGGCTCCAGTGCATTTAGAGCATCACCCCTGGAAGTTTCAGTTCCCTCCATGAGTAGCATGGGTCCATCCCTGGAACCCTGTGCTGCTGAAGAACAAGGTAAGGCAGACAGAGTTGGAAGATCAGCAACTTCCCAGATCCTCTCAGCTTTGCCCACACTACAGCAGTCACAATACAGAAGCTTTGCTTTCTTTCTCATGGTGGCTTTACTTACTAACCTAGTCAGGTTGGTCTTCAGTATGTGAATTTGTTACTGACTGCAGACACTAATCTCAAACAAGCACACATTACTACTTCTGCAGCCTGTTTTACAGTTCCTGCAGTGTTTATAGACTACTTTTTGTTCAATGAAAAATAAATTACATAGAAAATCAGTTACTCTGCAGATGCACAGTCACACAGCTAGACTTCTGGTCAAGTTTCACAGCTCTACTAAAGTGCACAGAGATGCACTAAGGCTAATATGGCTTCTAATTTAGGTCTAACATAAATAAAGCTGGTATGCTTGAATGATGAGAGAAAAAAAAACAGGAATTAAAAAAAAAGCAAGCAAATCCTCAAGAACAGCTTTAACCATGCCAGGATATCCTTGATATGGGCCCGGAAGCCTGGTAAGGTAAAGGTGTTCTTCTGTCATTACTTAAAATAGCTTCACTGTTTTCCCATAGTAGAGCCCTGGCTAAGTTCATAGTAATTTCACATCAGAATAGAATAGATGCAAAAAGATAAGAGGTCCAGAAAGATCTTACCTCTTCAACCTGACTGACAACCTACAAATGTACAATTTGAAGAATGAAGCTTTCTCTTCTTAGGTCACCTACAAATCTGAACATGTAAGTTTAACTAAAATCTCACTTGGAAGACAATACCCAAACTACATCCCTCCTCACCCCTACTGCAAGGATGCTAACATACTTTTTGGCTTGCTCTGTCTCAGAAGGCACTACTGCTACCACTTGCTTGCTGTCAAACAAAAAGTGCTCAAAACTACAGTACCTTTGATGTGTAGGGTATTTCATACAACAAATGGAATATAAGTCAATTCCTGCTCATATGCTTAAAGCAAAAATGACTGCCAAGTCTGATTTTAGAGGAGAACTGGCCCTCCCTGAATGACCCAAGTTCACAGGGCCAAATATTTGTGTTCTTTTAAGGTACTGATAAAAATCAGTAAGAAGCTGATCTTGGATTGTATTGTTAGAAAGACTATGTTTATTAAGCATCCATTCCTTTCACAGATTGTTTTTGATAAAGGAGTAACATCTGGAGGGACCAGTCTATCATTTATTACAGTCAATGCAAGGATACCTGTTAGCTTCCCCGTCTTTCAGATCTGCCATCATAGGAATCAAATCTCTCTTTTGTAGTTGTCAGCTACACATTGGCAAAAGAAAGTGTTAAAAACTTTTCTTAAAAATATAATATATTAAAAAATATAGATAACTGTATAATTACCTGGAAATAGAAATTAAATACCAGTGAAAAATTCCCAAGACAATGTGATGTGTTTTGATGAGGCTGACTTGGAGCAATGCACCTTTTCTGAACAAAGTGAGTCTTGATTTCCAATGGAAACATGGTATTTTCTTTTAGCTTATGAAAACATTCTGTTGTCACTTGGAACAATTCAGGAATTTATTGCAGCTGAGCTAAACTGAAGAGCAGCTAAACTGAAACTTCAACAGAAACTCCAAATCCAAGGAACAAAGGAGATTCAGTTCTAATCGTAACACTGAGTATATAGTGCTGTATAAAACCAAAGCAGCAGTTCTTCAGATAACAAGACACAATGATGACAGCTTGAAAGAATAATTTTTAACATTTTGCAGTTCTAGCTATAATCAGTAAAGTTTTAAAACATGTTTGCTCTTATCCTGAGCATTTAAAAGACTCTTACTTTTCTCTTTTTCTAACCCCCTATTAAATAAGAAAAAGAACAAAAATAAAATTTCCTTTTATTATCAGCCTTTTCTTAAACTATAGAGATGCTGACGTTCACTCCATGCCTGAAGTCTCTTTTATCATAGAGAATGCTCCTTGCATAGGCAGGTGAATTTAATATTTAGAGCTTCCTTGTGCTACTTTAAAATAGTTTGGAGAAACATGTGGTTGGTAAGTATTTAGATTTGGTGACAGTCAGTGATTTTTATACATGGTCTTTTCTGCTTTATGGTTGTAGAGGCAGCAAGACATGGAAGCAGGACTACAAAAAACATTTTCACCTTACAACAGATCTATACAAGGCACTTGTGATAAGCATGTCTGAGTGAAGGTCAGCAGGGACAGCTACGTGAATGTTTTTCCTGCTACCGTGCTTCTAATTTCAGTAACTTGTGTGAAATGTGCTGTGAGGTTTAACGATCTAAGCATAATTTCAACATGTATGTTGAAAGACTTCCAAACCCCTCTTCTTTCTTCTCCTTGTATTTTTCACTCTGCTGTCTGGAAAGGCTTCCTGTGAGATGGTGGCACCAGGTGGGAAGGTAGCGTGCCGGGCAGTTCATATCCATCCAGTTTAATCTTGATGAGATGTTTTGCTAATGCAAACTCCTCATCATCCAACATGCCATCACCATCACAGTCTGCAAGTTTCCAGATCTTCCCCAAGACACTGTTGGGTAGTTTTGAAGTCACCATCTCCTTCTTCGCACTAATCCCCGATATTTTGCCATTGATTGGTGACAGAGTGTAGAAAATCTCATCATAAGCAGGTTTATCTTTGGCAACAACCCATTCCTCTTCATCAGCTCCTTCCTTAGCACCTTCTCCATATCCGTGGCCAAAAGGTCCTGCCATGGTGCCATCGAATGCTCCACCATGTACAATCTCTGTGGGCATATTGCTCTCTTCTTGTCTGATCAGGTTCATCAGGGAGGCAATTTTGTTGGCTAGCATGTTATCCACAGCTTCAATTAGCTTTGGCTTCAAAGAATGAAACTTAGTGAAGTCATAATTCTCCAGCAACTCCTGTAAATGACAAAGGTTTCAGTGACAGCAGTTAGAAACATTTCCAATACATTGAAGAGGCTAAAGAATGGGCTTAAGATTAAAATAATCTGTTATCTTTTGAAGCAGTTTCCATAACTGAAACTCCTCTTGAAGTTCTCGAAGCAAAGCTGACACGTATGTACCATACACTCAATATATTCAAACACATTAAGACAATTTTGCAACAGTGTATGGGCTTGTCTATTAAATTACATTTACAAAACAATTTGCAAAGTGGCAATGTATAAAATCATGGCAGTTGATAAATGTTACTGAACAACTTTCCATTTGGTGATTTTCTTCCAAATATCAAAGAAAACGTGCAAGTACATCCTCAGTCCTGCTTGCACTTATGCAATGTTTGAAGTTAAAAATAAATGTAAAAGTTTAGAGGACTGATCTGATTTTATAGATTAAACTTCTTGTTTGTGGTTAGGTCATGAAGTGTCCTTTACCAATAAAGAAAAACTGAGTTGGGATAACATCAGCAGTGTTTTCACAGAAGTGCTGCCAGAACCCATGAAGTCATATGGTCCCTGCCAAGTTTTCATCTTGTACATAACTCTAGTAACCTCAGTGAGATGTTTAGGTGATATGTGCTATTCCAACACAAGCCCAAGCTTGTTTTACAGCTGAGCACTAGAAAATTAAAAATGCTTTAGGCAATTATTAAATGATTTCTACATGCAAAATCCTGATCAGGAAGAGAGTTACAGTGGAAACAAAAACCCCAAACACATGCACACCTGCCCAAACCCTCAAACCTCTCAAAATGGTGTTAAACTGCTTTAATACCATCTACCACCTCAGGGAGCTGCTCCCACAGGTAACAGAACTATAATGATGTGAACCAAAGACACCTGAAGCACAGGCAAGTGGCTTGCTCATGCACACAGAACTTTGGATTTCTTACAGGTTCAAACAATCGTCACTCTGTTCAAGTGACATTTATACAAAATCTTGTGATTTATGGCTGATCAGTTTCAGTTTAAATTTATGATACGAAATAAATCTTAGAAAGCAAAGGTCAAACCTGCTGTCTGTTTTGGCACAGTTTTATTTTCTCACAGTTCTGCTCCTCATTACAGAAGTGACTCTCATGTATACATTTGCTGCCATCTGCTGCTGAGACTTAGTGACACGCACTATTAGTTTGATAAAGTTCTGTTCAAATTCTGTTTCAGTATTCAAACTGACAAGTGATCACCTCTCATTTTGCATCACCAACAGAAGTGGCAAGGGAAGAAAGAACCAACTTTTTCCACAGAACACCCTTAAAAAGCTTAACTCATGAAACCCTTGAACGACCTGCCTATGAAAACCTAGCTGAAGTAGTTCTTGTGCTTCATCTGTAATTTACTGTCTTATGCTAATAACTGATTCCCAAGTTACTTTAGTTCATAAAAAACCCCACTTGTGCATCCCTGTAAGACTGGATTATCAGCCAGTCTTCACTCTTTATGATTAGCAGTATATCACATAAGTTGTCAAAATGATATCCAAGTGTCAATCTGGAAAACACGCTCCATCGCACTCATTCAGCTTCTAAGCTGAATTACCTTCTAATTCAAAGGACATTTAAGAAGCCTATGATCTGAGATCCAAAAGTTGCAAACTGAGGCTTGTGGAATAAAATGAAAACCATTGCTAACACATTAGCTTTTCTTCCCTAGGGTACCCTCTAAACAACTCACCTCAAATCAGAGGACAGAAATAGAAAGGTGAGAAAGTGACAGGACATTGGTATTAAGATTGTATACAGTTTAAAAGAGGAACAAGAGGCAAAAGTAACAATAAGAGTATAAATTGAGAATATTTTTCTCTCTCTCCGTAGAATACAAGCTGAAAAGGACAGGATAAAACTGAAAGACACCATTTTCAGAAGAGATAGGTTGCAAGTTGTACTTTTCAGATAACACATTGTGTTTGTTACTCACTAGCAAATAGTACCAGTAAGAGCAAGAGCAGAGTAGGGTAAAATGTGTAGTATGTGACTAAGGATATCCTCGCCTACACAAATACATGATAGCATAACAGAAGCGATATAAATACCCACATTTAGGATATAAAATAAGAACCAGCTTAACCCATAACTGCCATAATGGCAGCGTCCACTGCCATTTTATTTGCACAAAACCTTTAGTACTACTTGCCATGAGAGATCAAGTATTTACTAAAAGGACCGAGGGCTTTATTCTTATGGCAATTGCTAAAGTCCTATATCAGTGAATGTACACTAAGCAAGTGATCAGGGTTTTTTGTTTCTACACTGCTTCTGAGTCATGCTAACCCCACAACTGACACATGATTGATTATCACTTCAGCTGCTCTATTGCTGAAGACCCTAAACTATATAATGCTGAGATACTATGTCCTACCTTTTGCAATTTGGCAATCCTGGCAGAAAGCTAGTATTGTTTCAGTGAAACTCTAATCTATAATCTTACCTGCATTTTCTTCACTTCAGGGAAGTCTCCTGCTGAGATATGGTATTCCCTTTGCAGCTGGGTGTAGATCTCTGGTAATCTGCTGATCAGTTCCTTCTTCTTGTTCTCTTTTCCGAATACAGAGGGCATTTCTTTTTTCAGATAGCTGATGATATAAGCATGAACCTAAGAAGCAGCAAAACTGAAATCAAGACTACTGTTTATCTACACTTAACATTAATGTTCTTAACCCAGGTCATAAAAAGAAAGTTCCCACAAGCCAGCTCAAGGACAAGGTATTATTAACGACTGTGTCTGGAACTTCACAATTACAAGAACAGTTACCAACTAGCTTTTGCTGCTTTCAGCATTCCTTTTGCAGAGAGAAAGCAAACACATTGAAAAGGAATAGATGCACATTTGCAGTTTAAGGAGAAGCATGGTCCAGCATTCCATCAGTACCAACTGTGAGAGAAAAAACAAGGCCCCAAAACCACATTCTGACATGACATGCACGGATCATACAGAGCACCAGCCATACTTGTCCATCTGTCTCAGTGGCAGAGATTCATAACTCCATTTGCTTCACCAATTATTGTGGGAAGCAATGGGATAATGCCTCAGGTAATCCAAGCATGCTAAATCAACGGCTATCTAATTGAGTGACACTGCATTCCTACCTATTTATTCCCAGAGAATAGAGTACCTATAGTCTTTATATATGCATCCACCAGAGGATGACAGAGCAGTCAGTATACTGTAAAACAGCATGCCATGGCTGCCCTGTGAAGCCTTGGGGAGAAAAGCAGAGCCTTTTGAGCATATAAAGACATTAATTTAGGATGACAAGCTCTAAAACACATAGATACTTGCAGAGCTCTTAAGAGTTTCCTATCCGCCGTGACCAAGTTAGCCCAGCGCTGCCATCAAGACATCCATCTTGCCCAAGCACACTCCTTCTACCCTTACCCTGAACCATTAATCTCTTCCCCTTCACCACCCTCCCCACCACCTTTCACCACCAAAAGGATCTGCTTGGCCACACAGTGAGTGATCTGGTCTGGGACAGACAGAGTGGTTGCACTTCTTAACTGAGGCGAATTCACTTATCCAGTTCATTGTGCGGACACTGATATTCTGTGCACAAGAGGGAAGTGCCATGGCAGCCTGATTTTATCAGCAATGCACACCTATCACAACTTAATGTCATCAACTGCTTTCCTACGTTCTAACTTGGCCAGGACCACTGAAGTGAAATGACCTCCACAAGACAAATCGTTATGAAACTCGGGTCTGATGGAGCTGTTCCCAAAACAGAAGTTACTTAGAATTTTCACACTGAATACATTAGAAAATAAGAATGTCTACTGAAGTGCTGAGCAGTAAAAGGCTGAAACGTTGAAGACCAGGGGAAGACAGACTACCACAAAAAAGCATCAGTAGAAAAAAAAGTGATTACATACATGTGGTGGAAGTATAATACTTAATACCTATCAAATCATTACAGAATGTGCCTTAAAGTATTCTGTACAAATCTTACATAATCTGTACAGGGGTAGTGCTCTCCCATTCTTTTCCTTGCTTATTTAGGAGGCTTACTGGAAACTGGAGAAAAAAAAAAAAAAATCTCTGTTTTCAAAGAAAAAATGGTGTAACCTGTTTTTATTTGCATGTCTTAAGACCACAACTTTCACACAACATCACTTCCTCATGTCTGAAAAGAGTGCATGCATTTTAATTGCAGATAAATTTAAATTCTTACCGAGGATAAAAAATAAACAGCATGAAGAAGCGGGGTTTCTGCATAAACCCATGAAATTTTCTAATAGGGTAGATACGAGTATTTCTTCAGAATGACAAGAACTGATTCAGCAAATATCTTTCTAAGAGAGTTTATAAATAACTAAGTAATTTTATGGATCATATGTTTAAAAAATACTTCTAGAAAAAACAGAACTATATATATATAGTTCACAAGCACTAAGAGTTTCACATGTGTATGCTAAGTGGTCTAAGGTCTGCCAGAATACACATGTGTTTCTTGTAGATAAGGACAGTTCCCGTCTTCAAAATGGGACAGTGAGTCACAGGACTTAAGAAAAAAAGCCCAAATTTGACAGCAAGTTAAGAGCTTGTGTTTGGTTTTTTGGTTACTGAATATGTTTTAGAAAAGATTAAGAACAGAGCAGCATAGAAATAGGAGGAAAAAAACCCTGATACAATGCTGTAAAAAGTGATTTATGAGTGCCTGTACTTGAAGTTCCATTTGGAAGACAGAAAGCCAACACTGGGAAGATGACATTGCTGCTTTCCTGCAGATAAACAGTGTATTCCCCTTCCATAGCTGTCTAGTCAGCATGTCCTATGAACTGTGTATTTTGTATTCACCTTTATCCATTTTTATTTTACATTACAAAGAAACACCTAAAGATGATCCATCTGACACTTTTCCACCTCAAAAATGATTGTAACAATTGAAAGCAAAAAGCTGCCAACAACATCCACAAAATTGATTGAGATCATAGCAACTTGTCACAAAATATCATCAGGAACAGAATTTGAAATGGAATTTTCAAGGAAGGAGCTGCCTTTAGGAGCATGCCCTAAAGCTCAGGCCACAAAAAACCCCAAACCCAGACCACCTTTGAGCATACCATTACATTCAGAGAGTTAATTAAGCCAACATAAGAAGTGGGTATATGCCACCAGACAACTATTCTTATACCAGTGTAAGTGCAAGTCCTCTTTATTTTTCCATAGAAGTCCACATGAAAGTATGTTCCAAGACAACTTTGACTCAAATTACATTCTCTTTGATAACTGCATAGGAAATTAGTACTTCTTTCTAGTACTGCCAGCTTTCTCCCTAAGTATTTCTGAGGTTAGTTTTCCTTCTGTTCCAGTTTTCCAAATGACAAATTGTAATTCTTGAATCATCAATTTCCATTTCATTTTTGAGCTTTTCAAAACAACAAGAAGCTTGGCAGTGCTTTTAACTATTATTCTAACAGCAGTTGCCGTGCTACAATGAAAGAAACTGCAGAATCAGAGAAAGAGGTTAAGAAATATTTCAGACTGCAACCAAGGCTTATTCTCGTCAGGTTGTGAGAAGAAAGGACAGATGAAGTTAGCACTGTTAAGCAGGGATTCTGAAGGTTAATGTAAAATACAACCAGAAGGTTTTACAAATAGGTATTTAAAACTTAGTGCTAATTCACAAAGCATTAATGTTACATCCACGCATTCATCAAAGATAACTAGAGATCTATAAAAAAAAAAAACCCAAACCAAAACAACCAGCTGTAGACAAGTGTTGTCACACACAGCTTGCCCGTGCATACCAGGTAGTGACTGTAATTTGCACACAAGGCACGTACTCCTCCAGAGCTGAAAACAGGCAGAATGGTGACAGGGGCTACCTACAGTGGGGCACAGAACTCAGATTCCTGGATAAAGAGAGATGGGTTTTCCTGGATATGATGACAAAAAGTCTCCATCACCAAGTATCTCTGACAGGGAATGAAGAACATATGATCTCAGAGGCTCAAGAGTTTCAAGCTAATGCACAAGCACTTCTCCAATTAATCAGTATCTGTGCTTCACCAAGAGTGAGGCTTTTAATCAGTCTTGTATTCTAGGGTATAACATAACATGTGTTTAATCAAAGTGTTTTCCTCAGCAGCTGATTGACAGTATGCATTAAGGCATTAATAAACAAAAAAAGCACATGGAAGGTTGCATGTGAATAGTTTTGGTTGTGGGTTTTTGCCTCCCTTTTCTCTCTCTCTTTTTAAAACAGTGTTCTCTACATTACCAGCTATTGCTAAAAACGAAGTGGTTTGTCTCCAAAAATTAAGATTATCTCACTGCATAATATTAAAAAAAATAATTAAAAAATAAATAGCAGTCCCCTACCAAGAAAAACATAGCTTTAATGGCCCAAAATAATCAAATCCCTTCTCTAAAGTTAGGGAGACATCCCAATATAAGTCTTGATATCCTCCTACTTGTTTCTATATCCCAAGTGGCTACCTCTTCCACTTGCTGAAAACACACAGTTTATAGGTAGAGAAAGACTGGGAAGGGTGAGAAAGGACACACTGAAAGGGACAGAAGAGACTCCTCATTCAATTAATTTAGGGCTTTTTATCTTTTCTTACCTTTGCAAGTCTTGCCCTCTTAATGAGATCATTGAGTTTGCGCACAGCAGCCTTCTGCGGGAGACCCTGGATATCCTTGAAGAGATCCTGTGCCTCAGCTTCAAAGAGTCTTCGATTCTCTGTGTTTCGGAGAGGATTGGACCAGAAGGAGCCAATGTAGACTCGCAGCACCTCTGGAGTGTTGATCACCTTGCCCAAGGACCACATGAGTGCACCATAGACCCTCATCAGCTGCTGTGTGTCCACTTGGTCAGCCTTATTAAGCACCACTCGAATCTTGTCATCCTGGCCCCTGAATGACTTAATAGCCTCTGAAAACTCATCGGATATGTCCAGCTTATGGGCATCAAAAAGGAGAATGATGCGATCGACCCTCTCGGCAAACCACTGGAGGACTTGGCAGAAGTCGTAGCCTGAAGGAAGAATACACTATTACAGTCCTTGCTATTCAGAAAAGCAAGTCTTGGAGAATGTAGGGCTAGGGATAGAGAAGAAGGGGATCACACCATCACATGGGGGAAAAAGAAGAGATGGACCACCTGGAGGAGAGCATCTGTGGACAACGCCCTTCCCTCAACCTTACCATCCATCTCTTATGTCACTATCTTCTGTGCTGCTGTGAGTTACCATCTCACACGTTTGCTTCTTCCCAGGAGCACTGGCTTCAGCACAGCACCCAAGCCAAGCAGGTCTGTGGGGCTTTTATCAGAAGCTCTCTTCATTGCTGTTAATACTGGCCACTTTGGTAGCACTGCCTATCTGTACTAACAAGGAAAACAGTGCAGGTGCAGCACTCCAGAGTAAGTCAGTATCTGAAAATATTTGGATTTTAAAACCACTTCCAAACTCTCCCCTTCTTGCATTGCAACACTTGCTGTTATTTCTGCCACAGCAGACCCAGAGATAAAATTTACAAGTAATGTGCCTGTGTCGCTGATGGCTTTGGAGATGTGACAGATTACAGAGCATGAGCAGTGACCATTCTGATCATCTGAAACTTCTTGATGTTCTGAAGAAAAGCCTATTCTTAGCACTTGTCTGAATGCTTTTATAAGTGCAGCTGGTGTCTAATCCACACAACAAACAGTATTCAGGAGCTGCTTATTCAGAAGTGACACATCTAATCTGCAGAGAGTCACCACAAGTGATGTGGCATTGGGCTTGGCATGATGTGACTCAGCTTGTTTGAGTAAGGAACAGCAAGGTATGAACTCAGAGCCAACATTCCACCCCTCCTATTGCTCTTGGAAACAAACCAGAGGTAAAAGAGGGCGCAGCCAAAATGCAAGGACTGATGTAAAGTAACCCAAACAGAATTAATGGGTTTCCTCCCAGGAGAATATACTCAAATGCTAACAGCAAAGAAAGTTCAGTTATCACCAGCAAGCCCCCCCAGGGTGTCTTGGGTCATGTCCCAGCTGTGCAAGATAAGCCTTTAAGTCTCCAATCTCCCAGCCAAGAAAACCCGCTTAGACTACTCATACATGAGCCAATTATTCAACACTTACATACCTGGTCCAGATACAAGCAGAAGACTTCACCTCTCCTCATTCTCCCTAGCATCTTTTAAAGAGCATACGTAAAAGTATATATACAGGGACACTGTAAAGTTGCTTAGCTTTTCTTAAAACAATTCAGTCATCACACCTTCAGGCTGTTGGCCTTTATCAGGGATCCCAGAAGCATTTCAGCTTCCTTTGCTTTCCAGTAGAACTGGCTAGGGCCAACAGCAAGAAACGCAGACTTACCCAAAAGTAATAGGAAAAAATGGTGAACTCCAGATTCATCATGGAGCATACTTGGGGATGTTTAGCAATAAAGAAAAGAACACAGGCTTCAATCTCTTGTTTAAAAATTACAAATAGAATATTAAATGAAATCTAGAAATTCTAGTTAAAAGAAAGAAAATGTCCCTAGTTACTTGTGTTCCCTGCCTCTCCTCCCCCCAAAACAAAGATATCGTAAAACTTCACTAAAAATCCAGCACAAAAATGTCAAACCAACAGGAGAGGGCTATGTTAAAAAGGTACTATTACGATCCAAAAGGATGCAGGTCGGACTCATTAACTGTCTATACAAAAAAAAAAAAAAAAAAAAAAAACAAAGCCAACATAATCTTTCCCATTAAAAGGATTACTTTGTAAGGAATGCAAAATCTGGCCCCTTTCCAGATAATGCTGCTCTGATGCTTTAACACATTCTTCCTTGTGACCAGTTCCTGAAGGGGTGAAGGCAACATGGAGCATGGAAGAAAGCTGCACAAAAAGCTGGAAGAGAACTCTTCTTACTTTATACTAACAGTCTAATCAAAAGCAGTGTGAATAATTTATCTTCATAAAAACAGCAGGAAAGGGAGAAGTGATATCTTGAATGTCATTTGTATATCACAATATATTTGCAACAGTGCACAAATCTGAGCTGTGCAATAACCTGTTCTGATTTCACTCACATAGAAGAAAATATGCTTGAAATAAAATACATAAAGTTGCAAAATGAAGCAAGTTTAATCCTGTTAAGTTTTCCACAAATTGATAGGCGAGAATGTGACTTATAAGGCTGGTTAAATAAATATAAACTCCCACCATGTTTGATGGATTTTGAACTGTAAAAAACCAATTGTACAGTCAGCAAGTGTATGTTAACTAGCAATAAACTTATTTAAAATGTGAATTAAATATTAATGAAGCATTTGCTTTGAGAAAGAGAAGTCCACTTGTTGAAAATGGGTAAGAAAAAGACCTTATTAAAAAAAAGAAAAACATCTATTCATTTTAATGAAAATGTCATTAGAAGTGAACCCATTTTATATACAGATTCAGTAGTTACACATTAGAGTATATCTAAACTACAGAGAAGTGATATATGGTTAAATATTTCAGGACTGAGACACAATGCATTTAGGATCCTGTCACATACAGTACATGTGTGTGGGGCTTTCAAAGTTGAGCAGTACTAGGTCAACACTGATATAGTTTGGAAAACTTGACAAAAAAAAACTGGTGTTGATATTTCTCAGCCTCTTGCTGAGAAACATGGCTGTTTCTTCAAAGGTTTTCTCCCAATGGCTGATGTCACAGCAATTATATCCAGCCTGAGGATCTATGTCACACCAGGTACAACACTGACTTGCAGAAGCATACCAGAAAGTCTCAAGTCACCCTCGTACACAGCTAAAGGACAGAGGAAAGCAGCAATCCACAAGCAGCACTGCAGAGCTGTTGAGCTTGTCCCAAGCTGCAGAGGGGGAGTGAGCTGGTGCCTCTGACACAGGCACAACTGTTGGGCATCAATAACAGCCTGAGCAGAAACCACAGAGGAGAATAAAATGAAACAATGTGGAAGAGACGAAAATACTGGAGAGAAACTGCACGTGGTTACCAGCCCTGGAAACACTGATAAGAGGAACGATCATGAGCTCTCCTGTGTCACCAGCACAGGGCAAAGTACCAGCCCTGTGCATGACAGCCACCGGCATGTGACAGGTAGAGGTGTACAACTGTGCAGGATGAGTGTGGGCCAATTTTCTGCACCAGTTAGCAATAAAGATTTAAACAAATGGTAGGTTTCCCTTGGGGGTCCAACGTAAATGATTTCTGACTTGCCCATATACCATTTCCAAAAGCTTCTGCAATTCAGTAAACAATTAGGGAAGCTCGACGGGCTCCACCCATCCTGTCTGAGCACAGACAAGCAGTGTCCAGTTCTTCCACCCCTGGGGCCAGCACTACTGGCACAGCAGAAGAGAGGCAGCTCTCAGATGAGTGCAGTCATCAGGAGGCCCCAGTCTCTAAACAATACCCAGTTACCAGATGAACCACAGGCGGGCAGAATACTGCAGTGATCTCACCTGCTGTTTCTGCTTAAGTACCACACAACCAAGACTACAACACACAATTTACATGTGGACAAACGCAGCCTTTCCCCCATGCCCAAACTGCTGTTCTTCTAATGCTTTGTCACAGGTTAGCACCTAGATTTCCCAGTCTTTCAAACATAACTCAGTCCCACACAGGAAGATGCACTTTTGCTGTCCAGGGTGGAAGATTCCAGGTATGTTAATGAAAGCCTGTCTCAATCCAGCACTCCTGGGTAGCACTCTTACTGCACTTGTGTTGGTGGATTAATCCTAAGGAGAATGTACAGTGTCTCAATGCAAGGGAAAGCCTGACACAATGCTGCAGCTATATCCCATCACCTTACTTAATCCATAACTGCATTTTCACAAGCCAGCTTGAACTGAGAAGATTATTTGTGTTTAAGTAATTCCAGTTCTAAAAATGCAAGCTAACCAATACCCTCCATGTTCCTCTGAGCTCTTTCCTCATACTATTTGAAACCCTTGCCTTCATGTCACTCAATCATGAACCAGACTCCTCCTCCCTTTCTAAAAGCAGTTCCTCCCTACACCCTGCTAGATGTTTCTTCTCCTTCTCTCTTTACACTCATTGTTCCTTCTAAATCTTACAGATAATACGCACATTTCTGCCTGACATGGGCTTTGTGAACGTCACCCATGATGCTTCTGTAGCATCACGGGTGACATTCACTGGGATGAGCATTGTCTGGCTGCGGACAATGCTGGCACAGGTCTGCACAATCTCCTGCAGCCACTTACGCAGCCCCTGAACTGACAGGCAGGAAGCTTCTGGCACATCCTCCTGACAACAACAGAAGCGGGAAAGGTGTGCCAAGAGACACAGTGTTGAATGTTGCACCCTGTGTATATTTTTGACCCTTCAGAAAGCGATCAGCTCCTTCATCCATGGCCTGGATGCTTTCCAGAGTTATAAATAAAACATGCTGGGAAATAGCGCATATCCTGCATTTTCACATCATCCCTTTACTGTTTTCCTGCTTTTAAAAACTGAAAGTTAACATTTGATTCCTTTCTTGGTCTCAGGAGGCTCACAAGATGGTGAAAAAAACACTGACAGCGAAGAGTGAAGGTTTTACACTGAGGTTCTGTGATATTATTCTTCCATCAAACATATTAAAACATCACCAGTAAGAAAAGTTGCTGCTCAGCAATGTTAGAAACAAACTAAACTTCTAGAAAGGTAATTTAAAGCCTCAGATATGAACAGACACCAATAATGTGCAGAATAGAAACACTTAATCTAAGGTGTTACTAAATGCCATATTTCATGACAAAAACAAAAAAATCTAATCTTGTATATATTATTTAGAAAACAGCAGCAAGATTAATAAGGAAAAAAACCAAACAAAATCAACCAAAACACAAACAAAACCACAAGAGAGAAATAGAAAGAAATTAAAAGCTTAAAAAGAAAAAAATTGAAGCATAAGATTTTGAAGCACAAGATTGTGAATCAGCACAATTCTGAAAAAAATTCTTAAGAATCACCCTTTAAATTTAGAGCTTTCCTGGCAAGCACATTTTCTGTGTTTAAGTCTGTAATCACCTTCTTAGTGAAATGAAACGGCAGTTCCCATAATGAAGCATCCCAGCTGCAACCTTTACCACTGAGAAGCAGCCAGTGAATTTAAGGGGTAACAACACACATTCTTGTAGGAAAAAAAGCTTTGTTGGCCTCAAGGTGCACAAACAGAACCTTCTGTGACAGAGGCACATTTAGGGGCAGCATAAAATATCTTGTAGAATCCTGCTTACATTTGCACACAGTCGTTTCAAGTGTAATCTAAGCAACTCAAACTTCAAAACACGCTAAATTAGACTTGCAGCATAAATATGTTGAAGTCAGCCTGACTCCTTCAGGAAGCAGGTTAAACAGGCCTTGCTGCATGCAGCACCACAGGATGAGTTGAGTGTGTATTCCACAAAACCACCTGGAAACTGCGTAAGTAGTCCAAAAATCATATACAGGAAATTCATCTGACTATGCAGTATTTCAGACATGGGCGAGCACAGTATTGCCTAATCATATAAGCATGCAATATCTGCATGCAGTAAGTCTATATACTCCATGTATGCTGATGTCTAAGTATATGAAGCTTTAAACCTTGGCAGCAGTTGCCTTGCAAACGTGGGGAACAGAGAACCGTGCTCTAAAGCTAACCCCCCAAAACCTTATTTATGGTCCAGCCACACTGGTAAAAGCTAAACCACACTTGCAATAAAAGAACTGTGCGAAGTTACATATTCAAGACAACCCTTAGCACACTTAAATGATCATGAAATCTAGTCAAGTTAAAGCCTGTGAAACAGGTAAGAGTTTGAGGTTATTGCTGAGCACTGTCAACTTAGGTGAAAGTCTGACATACCAAAGGGCAGGCCAGCTAGGCCACAAAAACACTTGATAAGGCACACACAGTCAAGAAACAGAGTTTCAGAACAATAAAGGAACAAGAGTCATATGTTTAGTAAAGCTTAAAGAGCAATTCTAGATGGCAGTGAAGAGCCATGGTCCTTTAAGCAACTACCAGTGAAACAAGCTGGAGTGAAACACAACTCTGTCCCACACATGCAGTCGGGGACATACACAGCAATCCCTAATTGTGTTCAGTTTTGTCACGCAACTGGTCACTTTTCCAGTGGCGTATTAATACAATGTTCTAGTTTTCTGCTTATTCACTTCCATACTGCTATGAAAGTGGCAACAGGTACTTGAATGCTGCCAAGCATCATTTTTCCTTGATTTAACAAGCAGAGAGGGAGAAAGATGTGCCTAATTTTTCTTGTTGGAATTAAAAAGGGAGCTAGAATCCACAACAGACAAGCACAAGTAGGAAACTTAAGACCATCTTTGATTTTACCAGACTTTCTGTGTAAACAGAGACTTAAACATTTTGTGGACATCTTATGAGAAGATTTTTCAGGATTAAAGATCTTTAGTTATATACTTGGTTATTTCCACCTAGAAAAAAAAGTGCCAAAATGCAGTATTCGTTTTATTTATCTGAGTTCATAGTATTTAAGCCTTTGTTTGCTCAGATATAGGCCACTCATGCTGTTCATCTCTACTAATTCACCAATATATCACACATAGGAAAACACAGCTCTCTCCCCAAGATTAATGCTTTATGAATAATAAAGACGACAAAACCCTTACATTCTGTCACTGAACAAAGAATCCAGAAACATCTAGTAGACTGATTTACTAAGCAAGAATAGTTTAGATTGGAGTCCTAAGGATTTAGTATCTTACTCTGTCAGTGTAATGGAAAGACAAGACTATGGTTGCATAGCTTGTATGTATATGGTTGCATAGCTTCTATATATTGTACTTATTCCAGGATTGCCTCAAAAAAATCACAGGTGTGATATGTTAAAGAACTGATTATTTTCCCTTCCCACAGACATGAAACACACAAGTTTCCATTTCTTAAGCAAAGGTCTGAAAATGGAGGGCAGCATAAGCCACACACTGGATCACTGTCATTTACAACTCCACAGAAAGCTGACATGCACTTCCATGCAGCTGAAGGAAACAAGGAAGAAAGTTATTTACATTATGTGTTTTTGTTTTAGGAGTTTCTCAGAGACAGGATGATTTTTTAAACAGCATGTTAAAAATAGGGTTCAGTTCTTTACAGAATTTTTATTAAAAATATGCTCATTCCCTCTTCTTGCTGCTACCTTAATGCGTCCAACTGAAAATTGTATTACAGTATGGCTGAGCAACCTTAAGAAGCAACACTAGCAACTGTGCCTACAATAAAAGCACCTTATCTATAGCCCAACCCCCTCAGTTACTAAACATAACCAGCTTGAAGAGCTATAGGTATTATGAAACATTCATGACTCATGAACTCTACGTTCATAAACTTCCACAGTATATATGAGTCTATTATTACTTTGTGGAATTCTACATTCATGAACTTCCATAGTATATATGAGTCTATTATTACTTTGTGGAAAGCAATTAAAATGATGGAAATAAGGCTTTTTCTCAGAGTGTCAAAGCACTAATCAGTCAACAGACCACAGCCACTTGCAGCCATAGCAGCAGGATGATAGAAATCCCAACCCCTCCAGTTTCCAAGCGGAAAAGTTCCAAACCCTACATCCAGCCTTAAACTTGGGTTTAATAGGCGCTGTAGTAAGATAGTTTGGGACACACCACCACTCAATACCACTAAAACAGGTCCTCAGCAGATGAGGATGATGACTTGTCCAGTGTTATTTTCAATCCCTGCAACTCACCTCTGCTGATGCGCTGCTTCTCTCCAGAAAGAATGCCAGGACTGTCGATGATACTGATGCTCTTCAGTACCTGGTTAGGTAACTGAGAACACATGAACCTGCAAGAAAGGAGAAGGGGAGGAAAGAAGTAGATATTAACAACAGATGGAGCTTGGGGATAGATTGTCCCTTGAGAGCTCCCCTTTATGCATCTGCTTTTAGAAAGATTCAAGTGATATTTAAAAAATAATAACTTCTGAAGTCCTAATGAACCCCTATGTCTGGCAGCTGTACATGTGTAAGAAAACAAAATGTAAACAGAGAACTTCTCATAAAAGAGAAAACACAGGAAAACCTTGTAAAAACTATGTCTGAGTGCTGACAGAATTCCAAATTTTGCAAGAGCTGATGACATTGGCCATATATACAACATTAATAAAAAGACTCCATAAAACAAACATTTTGCTGTGACCAAAATTACTACACACAAGAAAGAATTCCTCATCTACTCCAACTTTTGCCCAAATTCAAAGAGATTTAAAAGAAAAAGGAAGTAGGCAGAAAAGCCTTACTGACAATACGGGCAAGGGGATTGGAACCAGGCAATCTTTAAGGTCCCTTCCAATCAAAACCATTTTCTGACTTTATGAATATGTTTATATTTCAGTGACTGGCAAGTCACCCTCTCACCTGCTCTGGCAGTGTTTGAATGGTCCATCTCTTAACCCACCACCTTTCCCTAGGTGGAGCCTGTGGAGGACTGAAAACGCTGTTTCTCCCACAACCCTAGCCAAAGCTTTCACATTGCCAGAACCAGAGTTCAAATTACATACAGCATGCTCTATAAACAATAACCTCCTGCCTCTTTGGAGACAAATTCAATGGTGGTATTATGAAAAATAAATAATTCACAAGGCCTCCAAGAGTCATGCAGAACATTGTGTGTGTTAAACGCAAACTACTGTGATGCTTCTGGCGTAGTTGATGATTGAAGAATTTCACCTCCCTTCATCATAAACTGCCTTTAAGAGATTTGCATAAGAGTTTAATCTTCTTATCGGGCAGCAGCTGAAGACTGTACTAACAAGCACACAACATAACCTACCCTCCTCCTGTGAAGCTGCCCAGAGGCAGCCCAGCACAGGATCAAGTTGCAGGCGCAGGCTGTAAGAAGCCATGCATTAACCCATCGCTTTAGAAAGCACACTGCCTCAGTGGTATCACAGACAGCAAACCTTAACTGTGCCAAGGTCAAGCAAGAACTTTAAGACCAAAGATAATGTGAGTTAGGCAGAATTCTTGCAAGTATGAGGTACAAAATGTAAGAGACATCAGTTTGGAAGCTATTGTTGGATAGGTCACAATGCAGATAATTTAAAGGAAATCAGGAAGAAAAAGAAACATCCTTACACCTCGATTCACCTTGTTTTTTGGGTGACCTTGTAGTCACAAGTCTGTAACAAAAGCACACAGCATCCCTTCTTGGGTACAACAGAAACAGCAGCATCAGCTATACCTCTCCCTGAAATTCAAGAGGGAGTAAGGAAACAACAGCCATCTCGGCCTGATAAAACCTTAGGGTATGTAAACAGCACTAGCCTTTTTGGTTTTGTTTCTGGTTTGGGTTTGATTTTGTTTCTTTTTAGTGAACTACCAGGTATAGAACATACTATATATCTGAAGCAAACTCTTCCACTAAGGCTAATTTTCTACTAATTTAAGCGATGCTTTTGAATGAGCAGTGAGGTATTATGCAATAAAACAACTTCTTTTTTAACTTTCCTAAACCTAAAGGAGACACTTGTTATAGCAAACACATTTTGTGGAAACATAGTGGATATGCATAAGCCACAGAGAGAATACATTTCACTGTATCAACCGTGACAAAAAAAATACATCACTAATATGCACAATATGAAGTAGTTTTCATAAATTTCAAAGTGTGAAGACTGAATTTTCATATATATAAATATTTAACCACTTTATTTCAACTTTAGAAAGCTTGTTTAGTATCACTGAGATGTTTCTAGACCTTTCTTATGGGAAGATGAGCACTATTATTTCAGCTGAACAATGCAGCAGTATTTTGACATAGGCATTACCCAGAATGGGGCAGCTGGAAAAGGCTGTGCAAGAAAACAGAGGACAACAGGTTTCAGATGTAAGGACACTGCAGTCTTCACAGCAGTCATTAGTGGCAAGAGGAGAAATAAAGTATATAGGAAAAGGATATGAAACAAAAAGATAAACTTGGAATTAATTGTCTGACTTTTAGAATATAGCCATAATCTAAAGAAAACAAATGGGTTAAAATTCTTACATCAAATTCATATTTCAGACAACTTAAAACTGTAATGCTATTTGTATTTGAATATGTCTTTCCAACACCGAAACTTGTCTCTGAATCATTGCTTCTTACATGACCTGTATGTTAAGTGCTGCATCATAAAAAGCAAACTACGTACTCTCTACCTAATGAAAACAGGCATTCATAAAAAAATGCATTACATAGTTGTGTGAATGAGATGACTGTAACTGCTTATGACACATTAGATCTTTGACACTGTTGTATTATAAAACTATTGTTAAGGAAAACTAGCAGTATTAGACTATCCTTGCAAAAAGAAGTTACATTACTTACACTCCTTTTTGTGTCCATTCAGATACCCATTAGAATAGCACAGGACCGTGCACTTCTTCTCAGCAGCAGCCATTTACTTCCTGAACATCTGGCATGCTGCAATATTCTTTTCTCACTTACTTCAACCTGCACCCAAGGGCACACTACGTCCTGCCTCCATCACCTTCACCCACAGCTTTCTTTAGAAGTACCCAGGAGAAATAAAGAAACAAATTCCTCCATTTAGAAGCCTTATGGAGACCTCTATCACAAGCAGTGAGACACAGGGGGAAATAAGAAGGGGTCATGGAAAAAAGAGGTAATATCAATGAATTAATGCAGCTAATTAGTAAGTACCAGCCTTGATTGTGCTACTGTGTTCCTGTTTGGTTTTAGTTTCTCCATTACCTCAGTCACTGTTTCCTTTCATGTTACATTCAGATAAGAAAGGCACTTAACTTCGCAGCCTAAGTGTCCATAGCCTTCAGTTCTTCTATAAAGCAAAACACTAGGATTGGGAAATAGTTTTAAAAACCAAAAGTGGGGGTAAGTGGGGTGTGTAGAGAAGAATCTATTAAGACTGTAGTGAGAAATGTAATATTGGGTATAAATGATTGTCAGCAATGGCAAGTGAGAGAAGGAAAAGTAAAATTATGATTGCAGGTAAGAACAGGGAGAAGTTATTCAAAGATACTGAACTGAAGGCTAAGACATTTTCAACTAGGTGAAGAAGGAAAAAGAAAGGAATTGCCAACTCTTGAAATCAGCAATATGATCAGAGTGGCAGACTGAGGGTGATACTAAGGCCATGTAAGCACATAGATCTCCACTGCAAAGCTGAGGAGCAAATATGACTATTGGAGAAGATAAGGTTGCCCACAGTAGTATAACAGTATCACAGCCACCAAAAGAACTGGAATAATTTAGTCAGTTACTTTGAATGTACATCTTTTTAGCTAGCAAATAATGTCTTGCATAGGATTCAGAACCTGACACAACTAGCTGTATAGACGATTTAGCCAAAAAATTATGTGTATACCGTTCATCCAAACCAACACATAGCATTATTAGATGTTCTGTGCAAATATTTGACTATTGTGCAACTTACTATTTACAGTATAATTACATTAATTTTTCATATAAAGCACAATGGTGGGGAAAGGGAGAAACAGAACAGTGATCTGGAGGACAGGACTTATCCAACAATCTTACAGAAGGGGGTCTTGGACCACAAAATTATTATTTTTAATGGGAGTTGGCTGCAGCTTCCCATAGCACATATTCTTACCACTCTGCAAAGTGATAGCTAAGCCAACTATAAGCAGCTATAAACTTTCTCTTGTGAATAAGCACAGCAAGAGATAAGACCGTACATGACGAACTTTTAACACGTATGCCAGCATTTATCAGCCAAACAGGAAAGTTTATTGTTAAAGGAGAACCAATTTAGATTAGCCGGCTTAAAAAGCTAGGCCTCCATGTCAAGTTACCATCAAATACAGGAAGAAAACAAGGCGATTGCTCACACAATATGAGCAAAGTTATTAATAACTTTTAACTGGAAATATTTAGCCTGCTACTTAAGTTACCTATGGCAATATCCACAGCCCCTAAACAAGTCCTCCCTGTTTTGCGAATACACAGCAGCCACCCAGAAGCTAATGCTACCATCCTGGTCTATGGGACTGCTTGAAGACCAGCTAGTCAAAATTAAACACTTAACAGCTTGAATGTGTACTTATCCAGAAGGCATACACAAATTAAAAGACAGCAAGCAAACAGATCTCACCTGTTCAGGAAAGCATTTCCAAAGCGGCTGAGTTTGCGGAATGGCTTCTTAGGATCAACAACTAGGGCATTTCCAGGAACATTTCCTTCTGAATCTCCATACATCACAGCAATAAAAGAATCTGTAGTAGGCTCTGGACCAATCCGCATGCCTGGAAAGTCTTGTTCGAGCAGGTATCTAGAGATGGAGAATACATTAAATAACAGAATGAATGACTGGGAACTATGGCAAAAGCAAATACCTATAAATCACTTGAAAATTCCTAAGCATGTACACACTCTAGAATAATCAAATTATATTTTTCTTGCATTCCATTATTTCTATTAATTAGAGAGAAAGAAAACCAAACCAAAACAAAACCAACTGAATTCCAGGGTTTCCACAATGACTAGGTAAAATGATAAAGTAAATCCCTTTACAAAACCAGGCTGAAAAGTAGTCCCCTCAACCGCAGGACCTGAACAATTCACATGGATGCTTCTACCAATAATCCCAGTGCTGTAGGTTACACTACAAGACATTGCTCCTTCTGTGTGTGTTTTCAAGCCTAAACAAGTGCTGCTGCTACTAAAAGGGAGTGGTTTGACATAGCACATAAGCAGCATTAGTTTGCTGACAGATGTAACCCTTCAATAAACTCAGTAGGATTTTAACAACTTTAACTCACCTTACCACAGGCAGCAATATAACAGTTACGAGGCAATAGTAAAATCTGTGTGGGAGTGAGGAAAGGATTCTTTTGCTTTTGACCCATGTATCAAAAAGGAATTATTAACTAAGACCTGCAGAACTTGAGGCCTAATGGTACATACTTCTGAGAGGCATCAGGCAGCACTGTACCAACAGAAAACATCTTGCATCTCCTGTGAGTAGTCCACAAAGAGATGTAGACAAGGCGTACTCAAAGGCCCAAGTCTGATACACCAAGTCTTGACTTTCTGGGCAACAAGGTCTCAAACAAAGGATATGCATGTTTAAATGCTGAAACCTAATGGAACTGGAGCATGTATTCACAGAAAAAGCTTGCCTTCATCCCTTCCTGGATGTCAAGTGAGAAGCAAGAGAGCCTCAAGCCTCCATCTTACAATGTTCCTCTAGTCTATGTTATGACAACTGTCACTTTTCAAGAACTGAAGCTAACAACCCATCTTAACATCAAAGCATGAGTGCTGTTGTCCTCATTCACAACAGCACCATCACGAAAATACTTACTTCAAGGCTAAGACTAAAATGTTTCCAAGCATGCTGTAATGACATGACAGGAACATTAGAATTCTCCAATCGAGTCATCTCGTACTTATTAATTCCATTGGTTCAAAGTTATCCTGGAGTTCTTAAAATAAACCCACAATTCTAACCACCAATAATTTAACTTTACATAATCAAAGCTGCATTTAAGCAAGAATTCTTCTACAGGCACAGGTGATGGTCCTACATCTAATGACAGCACTGGTTAGGTTTGAGCACATCTATATTAACAACAGTCTTCGAATAATAGGTTTGTGCTGGCTCTTAATCCAACAGCCCCATGCCTGTTCTGCTATGATTTCATAATTCAATATTGATTTGAGAGGACTTGCAGGCTGCTTTTGCTGAAAAAAACAAAACCAAAAAACAAACCAAAAACAATTTACAAGGTGTCTGTACTTGCTGAATAATCTGTTTGTCTTTAAATTCCATTCACAGACTTCGTAGATCAGTGCACAGAAGCTGAATTTAAGGAACTAAACATACACTACACATTCCAAAGACCGTTTTCCACTAGCATTACCAAACTGGCTCAAATCAGCTCAAACTGTGACATGGGAGGCTCAAAGCATAGACGGGGTATTTACATGGTATTTCCTGCAGCTTTCTGCTTCCAAACAAATCAAGAAAAAATATAAATAAATGCCAATGCTGAAGTCTGTGGGAAAGAAGGAACAGAAGAACACTCATGCCAGAACATGCCAAAGTCCATTTGTTCTACTCCTAGAATAAGCTATACCTAATGCACATTAACAGGGAAATAAAACTAGCCCCTCTCCAAAAGCAAAAAAACCCCAACACAACACTCAAACCCCCTCTGCACAGGCAGGAGTGTACAATGCAGCAGATCCCTCATCCTATGAAGCTGATCATATAACAAAACAAAGATAAAACTCCTCTGATAGCTCAGCAGTTAAGCCCTTTACACACGGAAACCCTGTACTTTCAAGCGTCATAGCAAACAGCGGAATGCCTGAAACACAAAAGTGTGTTCCTGCCTCCTCATAGAACACCACTGCAGACTAGAGCCCCCTAGAACTGGATGCAAACTTGCAAGAGCCACCACAATTTTCCAGATTGGACTCATTCACAGAATTGATTTTGAAAGATCAATTATATTTTTCTCTTCTAAAACAAGGTTTCTAACGTGCTGTAATAAAAGGCTCTATTTCAGTCTCTCAAACCTGCTTTTCCTCATTGCCCCTCTTCTAAAAGAGAAAGGATCTCTATGAGACTCATAATTAAGTTGTTCTTTTGATACAATTGCCATTCTCAGACTTCTGCTGACAGAGGCAGGAATCCATAAGGTAGCAACACATAAGACAAGAAGCTCCAAAAGCAGCAGTAAAAACATCGTACTCAATCAAATGCATACAACCAAAGTGCTAGATCCCAGGTCACAGAAAACTACATGATGGGATCTGAACACAGGATAAGACACCTCCAGGGTAATAGGATAGTTGCTATCCATCATAAACTCATGAACCTGCCAGGCATGGTTATGGACATTCAGTGGTGGTGGTCTCTTAGATAGCTAAAAAAAATAATCTCATGGCGTACTCATGAAGTTGCAGCACATTTGACACTTGCAGAATTTACAAAGAGTTGGAACTACAGAGCACCTTTCATGATTTCCCACATCTGTATTTTCAGCTCAGAACTCAACAGTGCAAATTCAGATTAGCTGCTTATTGAAATGACTAAAGAGAATAAAGTGCTACTGAACCACAATGATACTCCCAAGTTAATGTCAGATGAAGCTTTAAAACCCAGGCTTTTATATGAATAATAATCCAGGAAGGGCAAAATCTCCTTCCAAATAGCAAGTCACAGACAACCAAGTCACAGTGCTGAGCCTGGTACAGCTATTCAACAGACACAGGAAACACTTTGCAAGGCAGATATTTTCCATTAAGACTGATTCATAGTTGCACATCAAGAATCATACTAAAATAAACCCTAGAACTTGAGCACTGGCTGTACAAGTGTGCTGGTTTTGGCTGGGATAGAATTAATTTTCACCACACTAGTTAGTATGGTGAAACATAGCCCCATGGCTATGTTTTGGATTTGTGCTGGAAACAGTGTTGATAATAGAGATGCTTTTGTTATTGCTAAGCATTGCCAACACAGAATCAAGGCCTTTTCTGCTTCTCACCTCACCCCACCAGTGAATAGGCTGGGGATGCACAAAAAGTTGGGAGGAGACACAGTAGGAACAGCTGACCCCAAGGGATGTTCCATACCATATGGTGTCATGCTCAGTAGATAAAGCTGGGGGGAGAAGGAAAGGGAGGGATGTTCAGAGTGATGGCATTTGTCTTCCCAAGTAACCATTATATGTGATGGAGCCCTGCTTTTCTGGAAACAGCTGAACACCTGCCTGCCAATGGGAAGTGGTGAATGAATTCCTTCTTTTGGTTTGCTTGTCTATGCAGCTTTTGCTTTACTGCCTTTATCCCAACCCATAAGTTTCCTCACTTTCACTTTTCCAATTTTCTCCCCCATTCCTCCTGGACAGGGGAAGCAAGCAAGTGGCTGTGCATGCTTAGCCAGTGCTGGGGTTAAGCCACAACAGTACCTCACATAAAACTAAAAAAAAACACAAAACCTAACCTTTTTGCTTGGTCGCTGACATGAAAGTTAAGCCATGACAACAAGCTGTATCGTACTTCCTCTCAGCATGAAAATATCAGTTACACTTAACTGCACAAAAGGGATGAGAAGCCTTCTGTAAACTGAAAAGCTGCAAATGTTATTGTACAGTATGCTATATTAACACAGGAAAATACCTGGATTTTTAGCATCCAAGACTGCGTGCCCTTCTCAGGAATTTACAGCAGAGAGAGAGTTCAAAAAGGTTCACAGGAAGAATGCTTAAAAATAGCAAACTCCCAAAGACAGTCTAGATCAAACAACAGACATCCTGTTGATTCTTCTCCCTTTGTTTTTACCTGGGCTATAACCTTTCTGCTTTGCCAATAAACATTCATCTGTGTTCCTTTGCAAGATGTATAGCCAGGCTATGGGAAACTGGTTTACAAAGCTACAGAGATAGCAAAGATTACTCACAATTGCAGATACTGATAATCATCTGAAGCCTAAGTGCCTTGGCACGAACACAGGTGAGCTGGTCAGAGCAGCACTGAGCAGGGATACCCTGTGATGCACTGGGAGACTAACTCAAGTCTCCCTTCATAAGGCTGCTCATGTCCATACTACATACTTTCAAACAAAACTAGATGTTGGCTTTAGTTCAGAATTCTGCTCCAAATAATTCAGTAAAACTTTCATGTAGAGCTAGTGACAGAAGTTCCAGCTTTCACCAGAAGAAATTAAGAGGGACCTTCTCCCCTCTGTGAAGAAATAGATGCTGCCCATTCTTGCCATACAAGTGACTGCAGGCTACTTACAGACTGCAGATATTATGCATACAAAAGGGTGCTTTCACAAAACCCAGCTCTGCTGAGTTAAATAGAAGGAAGTTTACCATTTTAGCCTCTGAGTAATACCTGTGAGCAAAGTAAAAGCACAGCCTAGCAAGCTAAGGAATTTACTTCTGCTTTTCCTCATCTTGACAAGTTCTTTTTAAAAAAAGTCAGTCTGTTACACTTCTAAATCAGAAATGTTATAAACAAAATAAACATTATTAGGCTAGAAGTTTAATTCATTGTTAGAATGAAAGAAAAAGGTCAGCAACTACAAACTTGCACAGACAAGCTCCTATTTTTTTTTCATATGCTACAACCCTCCTGTCACTCCTTTCCCCACTTCTTTTCCTAAAGCAGACAGGAGAAATTGAAGGAATTACAGAAGCTGCAAAGCCAAGCATCTCATGTAAGATAGGCATTTGGCTCTTGCCCATTAAAAACAGTCAGACAAGTATTAACATTTGGGCCTGAATACATTTCTTTGAATTGTCAGCTTTG